TTTTTTGTTTTTAGTTTCTTTTTTTTTGTTTAACCAAATAATAATTAGAGTAAGTTTTTAGGATTATTAATTACATATAAATAGTGATGGTGATGATGATAGATATTATTATTATTATTATTATTATAGCATTTATTATAAATTTAATTAATTGGTTATTACCTAATTAATTAAAAATAAAAGAGGAGGTGTTATAACGACAAAGGAAAAAATAAATAAAAACATAAAAAAAAAAAAAAAAGAAAAAAGATAAAATATTTCAATGATTAAAAATATAGTGTAGATTAAGTGTAAAAACAATTTAATTAATTTATATTATTAATTAAAATTTACATTATTAATTATAATTTAAAAATTTAATAAATAATTGAAAAGATTAAAAATTGAAGGTGGCATAGATAATTATTATAAAAACAAAATAAAAATAAAATTTATTTATTTATCTATTTTATTATTAATATTATAATAATATTATTTATATCTTTATTATTATAATAGTGTAATTATATTTTTTATTATTTTATATCTTTTTTTTTAATTAAATTAAAAACTTACATCTTCATTTTGATCATATGAGATTGATTCTAAATAAATTTTACTTGACATTTTATTATTTTATATATTACAGAAAAAAAGAATTTATTTATTTATATGTATATTTATTTTTTATTTATTTAATTTGTGATTTATTTGTTTATACAATTTTAAAAATTTAAATAATGTTGATTTTTTTTTTTTTTTATAAAACAAAGTGATGAGAGTTTGTGATTGATAGAAGTGAGCAAAAAAAAAAAAATCAGCGCGGTTGTCCGTTAAAAAGTATAATTAAGATAAAATGAATTTTAAATATTTTAATTTATTATAAACAAGGTGAAAATAATATTTTATTTTTGAAAGAAAAAAAAAAAAAAAAAAAATAGGTTTGTTGATAATAAAATAAAAAAATTGGCGCTTTGTTTTTATTAATTTTTTTTTTGAATTTAAAAATTTTCTTTTTTTTTAATTTTTTATTTAATTTTTTTTAATATTTCAAAAAAAAATAATATAACAACCGTTTTACATCACCCCAAACTTCAAAATATATGAATTATTAATAATAAAGAAAAAAAAAATAAAAAAAATAACAGCAAATAGGATTTAGCTCCACCTGTATATATTATTATAATAAAAAAAAAAAATAAAAAAAAAAAATAAGAAATTGGGGAAAGATTTTGTTTCGTTAAATGATAAAATATTATCAAATGATATTAAATTATATAGTTGTTGTACAACTATGGATTTGATAGCATTGGGTCAGTAAAGATAATCAAATTATAATACATCGTTTTTTAACATGGCAAAAATTATTTTCTATAAATCATATTTTAAATAATAATAAATTAAATCAAAATAATGATATCGAAGATAATAATAATAGTAATAATGGTAATAATGATATATCAATTACATCAATTGTATGGAGCCCAAATGGTAAAATGATACCAGTTGGTTGCGAAAATGGGTCAGTTTTTATTTATTCAATTGAAAATTCAAAATTAATCAGTTCATCCCAATATCATAAAAACAAAATTCATAAATTATTATGGATAAAAAGTTTAGATAATAGCAATAGTAATAATAAAAACAGTAATGGTTTTAATAATAATGTATCAAATTTATCATTTATAGAGCAAATAAAAAATGATATGAATTTATTTCCACCAATATCAAGTTATTTTGATAGTTCAAAAGAGTATAAATTATTATTATTATTATATATTAAAAATAAAATTATATTAACTCCTCCTCTACTCTTTTTTATAGAGATTCAATTTATTTAGGAAACGATATTTATGATAGACAATTCGATTTATTATTGTGTTGTGATAGTAATGGTAATATTAGTTTTTTGGTTTTTGGTATTTTTAAAATAGTCTCTATTGATTTATTATCACTAATAAAATCAAAATATTCAAGTTTACATTTTTTAATAAAACCAGCAAAAGTATATATCGTCATAATAATAAAATGTTATGATTATTTTTTATTAACTTTAATTTTTAATTTTATTATTATAGAGTTTAAATATTTTAGATATAACTTTAACAGAGTCATTAAATAAATTATCAATTATGATTGAAACAGATAATGGTTTATTAATGTCAATTACATTGGATACATCAATTTTATCATTAAAAAAGAATGAGATACACCAAGTTTCACTACAATACTTTTTAAAGAGCCAATTACAGATATCATTAGACTTACATTTAAAGGATATTGTTTCCAAGTGGAAAGATTGTCAACAGCAATTAACAAGTAAATGGAATGAATTTGAAAAGGTACTTATGGATTACGGTTATTCATCATCAATTGAGCAAGAGTTAATTGGGTTATTATTAACTGGTGTTCCATCACCACCAACTCATCAATTTTTAATAAATAATATAGTATGTATTCAATTAATTTAATACATAAATTCACAGTTTATATTAACCATTTAATTTCTTTAAATAGAATATAAAAAAATTAAAAACTATTGAAACAACTTATAATTCAATTAGAGAAATTTTAATTAAATTTGTATTACCATCATTTTTAAATATTTTTCACATTGTAACTCTGTTGCACAATAATTCATTACAAAGTGAAAGATTTCAAAGTTTATTAGATCAACAATTAATAAAGAACACATTGGATTATTGCGGCTCTTTTGGTATGAAGCTCCATAATTTAGAAACTGTTATTTGTGGTATCGAGGCAAATTTCTCATCATTCACATCTTGGTTGTATAAGACTCAATGTTTTTTAAATGAGATGCAACCAGATAGAAAAATTTTACAACCATTTAACGAACTATTAATAATGTCATTGCTAAAGAAGGGCTTGAAACAAGATTTACTATTTTCATTAGCATCAAATTCTTCTCCATCATCAACTACATCTTCACCAAAAAATGTCAATACAAGTACCTCTCAATTATTATCACCATATAAATTTAATAGTAGAAGCGATAGTTTAAATAATAGTTTTAGCAGTAGCAATAGTAGTGACAGTAGCATTGATTTCCAATTCAAAGATATTATATCCAATAGTTTCTTTGACTGTTACAAAGAGTTTAAGAATAAAACTTTAGAAATCTTTAGTAATGAGATTACAAAATCATTATCAAATTCATTTAAAATTGAAAATATTATTCCAATATGTTTATACGACAAGAATGACACATCAGTATCCCATAAATTTAACTGCTCACTAATATCACATCCAAATGTAAAGTATAGTTTTATTATTATTATTATTTAAAAAGATTATTTATATTAATATTTTTTTTTTTATAGGATTTAATTTATATAGGGTTTAATACAACTTTATCAATGAGCAATAGATTATTTATAGCAAAGAGAGAATCCAAATCAAAATGGAGCTTTACATGTTTTCAATTGGAGGAATCATTAGGAATTCAAGATTTAAAATTTTATAACCAACAATCGATAATGGCAACAGTATCTCAGGATATTATTAAAAGCAACCAAAAAAAATCTTCAAGAAAAAATACATTTTTAAAACAATATCAATATAATAAGACTGAAGATGATGATACTGAATTTGAAGAAAAGGAATACAAGAAATTGGATGTTAACATACCACCAAGTACAATATTATTGGATCTTTTAGATGTTTGTATTTCAAATAAAAAAAATAAAAAAAACTTAAATATTAATATGCAATTACCATTTATTTTATTAGACTGTTTTCTCATGTCAAGTTGAGGATTCATTTAAATCTAGGGAAATAATAGCCAAATCTAGAATATCACCTATTACATTAGAGTTATCAACATCAAGAAGAATTGCAGCTTACGTTACTAGGAAAAAGAGAAAAATTATACTGTATGAATTAGCTGAAGATGAAAGAAGATGACGAGGATGTCCAAGAGGAGCAAAGCGAATAAGAAAATAACTATTTATTTATATAGGCAAATTAATTTTATGTTTATTAAATAAAAGAGAATGAATATTTATAAGAATGTTTTATATTATATAATATGTATTTGCATATTTTTAAAGAAAATTGATTTTTTATTTTTATTTATTAAAATCCTTTAATATACTATAATACCAGTAGTTATTTTATATTTTTAAACATTATCTTCACTACCACCAGTGGATACTTCTGACATTGTATTTAAAGATACAATTGTATTTTCTGTTGAGCCCTCATTTTCATTTTCACCAATTGTTTCTTGGTCACTAAGATAGCTTGGAAAAGTAATGTATAAATCATGGGATGGTACACATTTAATCGAAAATACTATTGGAATATCTAAACCATATAATTCTTTATTAAAAGCAGCTATATAACTTTCTAATAAAGTATCCTAAATAATTTAAACAATGGATTAGAATCTTTGATTAAATTAATAAATATAATTTTGTTTATCTGTACCTACTCTTTTTTTATTATATCTTTCTAAAATTAAAATTTTTCCCAATACTATTAAAATGAATAGTAAAAATAAAATTACAATTGGTATATAACTTTTATTAATTAATGCTATTGCTATTAATATTATGGGATTTATTACCATCATTACAACACACACTATTGGAAAAAGTACAATGTAAATTGGTTCGTATATATTATTTAACTCTTTAATAAATTTATTATATATTTCATCTTTTTTAAATAATTTAAATTCTATTGGGATTTCATTTTTTTCCATATTAAAAAATTTTCTTATTCTTTTACAGTTTTTAATAGTATTTGTTATATATGTATTATTTTTAATATTATTGTTCTCATTATCGTTGTCAATTTCTTCTATACTCTTTGTTGTTACATTTTTATTAATATTTGAATCATCAATATCTATACATATTGATAAATTATTATCATCATTATTTTTATTTTGATTATTATTATTATTATTATTATTTTCCATTTTATTTTATTATTATTGTATATTAATAAATAATATTAAATTTAATATTTTTATAATTTTTTTTATTAATTAATGTTTTTTATTATTTTCTATTTTTATAGTTTTTTGAAAATTTTCTTAAATTAAAAAATTAAATTAAATTAAAAATTAAATTAATTTTGAAAAAATAAATTGTTGAAACCTGTGTTGGATGAAAAAATCATTTGATTTTAGCATATATACCAAATTTTAATCAGTTAAAAATAGTTATGGTAAAATGTAATGATTAATTTTTTTTCTTATTAATATTATAAATAATAAAAAAATTAAAATTAATCAAAAACCCACATCCCACACAAAACACTTTCCCCTTCGCTAACCACACAGAGACAAAAACAATTCGAATCTGAAGATCATGTGCCATAGGGTAAAAAAAAAAAATTTCAAAATTTTTTATTTTTTTGTGGTTCATTAAAAATCTTCAAACTACAAATTCAATCAATTGTTTTACAATCAATTATTAATCATATAGATTTTTAAGTTTTATTAAAACTGGTGTTCATGTTTATATTTTGAGGTGGGCACAAGTAATCAAAAGAGATAAATGTATAAGATGGTGGTATTGTTAAAAAAATTTATTATTATAAAAAATAATGATTTTTTTATTATCATCAATCATTAATAATTAATCAATAAAGATTTTAATCAAAATCAACTACTGAAAGCTAAAAAAAGCTATTTTTAATACCATAATAATTTTTTTGAATTTAAAACTGTTTATTTTTTTATTTTTTTTTTCCAATATTAGTTTTAATAATAATATAAAAAAAAAAAAAAAAGTAGTTTGAAAAAGGTGGGTGTTATTTTTTTTTACAAATGCAAAATAATTTAAAAATTAAAAATAAAAAAAGTGACTAAAGTGTGGTGTTTTTATGTGTTGGGTAAATCAACACTAAAAAAAAAATTAAAGGGGAGTGTTGTTTTAAAACAACAAATATATCATTTATTTCAATTTAAAATAAATTAATACTTTGAATAATATTATTATATTGTTGTATTATAATAATTATGATTATTTAATCTTGAGTATAAATTTTAGTTAATATTATATTTAGTTGTCTATATAATTGATATTAACATTGGGCTTCACCAATACATAATGAGTTGTTTGGAATGCTGTTAATATCATCAGAATAGGTGGCTTCTAAAATCATTTCAAAATCTTTGAATCTATTATCATAATTATTTATATTATTGTTGTATGATCG